AATCAAAGCAGCACCAACATTCAAAAAAACTGAAGAGGAAAATACAACAAAACACAACAATCTCTTTTTTTTTTATTCTTATTCTTATTATTTATGTAAATCAGGTCATCACTGGACAAGAAACCAATTTCTACCCATTACCATAACAGCTTGTCTATAAAGAACAGAAAAGATTCAGATAGGATACTATCTAGTCAAGCGGGATATTTTTTTTGTTGGTTTTATTTTTTTCTTTCTTTTTTGTTTGTTTTTTTTTATATACTTTTTGTTTTTAAATTCCCCCACCCATTCACAGAGGTATAGAGTCACAGATAAATAACCCAAAAACTACTTGCTCGCCATATTTACACATTCCCGTTAAATTAAGCATAAATAAATATATACAAACTCAATACTGAATGCCTCTCCGCATTTCTTCTCAGGAAGAGTCGATAAACTGATATTTCTCACTGCATGGTCAGATTTTTCAAGAAGAGGAGGTGAAAAGGATCGTTTGGGGCATAAAAGGAGAATTTATTATTTTTTCTTTCATCTTTCCAGTTTCTCATTTGCTTTTTCAGAGCTTTGCATTTGTTGGGGCTTTTTTTTTTTTTTTCCTTTATATCTCGCTGGCACACAGTGTTTCGTCTCTCTCTCAATGTTCAGGCGTTTGCCAGTGTGTTTGGGGATGTTTTCTTTTATTTTTTTTTCCCTTTGTATAAGAAAATATACTATTTGTAAAAAGCCTACGGTCTCTCACACGGGGAAGCCGGAGGGGAGGGGGAGGTTGGCCGGATCGATCTGGCAACGCTTACGGCAGATGAAACAAGCACCAAATTCTCCGAGAAACGCATTAAAATAGAGTCGGACAGGTCTGTATGATAAACCGGTCAGAAAGAGATGAGCAGGGAAAGGGAATAAGCCCTTTGGGCACAGCTGAAGGTCTTAAAACCATCCTTCCCCCCCTCCTTCCCGGCCCCAAATGCAAATTTGGGGATTTGGGGAGAGGTTGGTCTGGGATGCAAAGGGACTTTAAACAGCTTCTCACAGAGAATTTCTATTAGGTGGGACAAGACATGACCCGATTTTAAAGAAATCATCGGATTGTAAAAGGATTCCCATAAAATTGGCTTCTTGTTTCCTTCACATCTTGTATGAATAACAACCAGGAAAAAAAAGAAGGTCAGGGAGCGTACAAAAACAAAGATCTTTCCAACGGCAAATAGAGAATAGTTATTAAAAAAAAAAATCGAGACTGAGAATGAAATAAAATTTACAGCAACCCACCTGTTTGGTTTGAAAACAAACTTTTCACGGTCTCTCCTCAAACTTTTCCCTTGAGTTACAAAGCAAAGCTGCCGTGTTAATCCTCCTGTTTATTGATTTATGATCCCGAGGAAACCAAATCTTTTAATAACTCAATTATCAGATAAACGTCTGAGGTGCCCCGCCAACACAAGTAGTCAGGCTGGGAAAGTGGGGGGGAGCAGGAAAACGCCTTCCAGAGGGAGGCTGAGTTTAGTTTGGGGGGGACATCTCTCTCAGCACTGATAGGGGCCACCAAGCAATGGATATTTCCCTCTGGAAGCAGCACTAAGCTAGAGGGAAAACAGAGATATGTGCTTCTAGGTCATGTTTTCTCCCTGTTTGCATTTCAATCGCAAACCTCGTGGATTTTGTCTCCATACTTTGTGGAGCGAATAGGGGACGTCCCACTGCAATCAATGGGAATTTGGCTTTATTTTGCCTGAGTGATGCACAGCCTGACATGTGCAGTCTGTCTCTTCCAGGTAGAAGGCACGAGAGACAGATTGAAACTCTTCCCTCAACCTGCTCAACGTTTAGGTCCTGATCCAGGTGACCAAACCTGTGCTTAGGGGAGATTTCAACAGCAGCAGGATGAGGCCCTCACACGTGTGAACAGGTCTTTCCCCAAGAAGTTCTAAAGGTTCCCTCTCATTAACTCACAGTGGTGGTGGGATTACTGCCTTCTGCAGTTAAAAGGAGCATTCCCAATATTTCTCCCAAAGACAAGGGAAGACCATCCCAACATTCCCTCAGAGCCTTCAGCTGGAAGCTCTGGGGTGGCAGGGAGCAGGTCCCCACAGGCCTGTGTGTGCAACTGGGGAGGTGGAAGACTGAGAGCCAACTTGGGGGCTCCCCACACCCAAAAGCCCCACTGGGTGATTCTGGAGGGCTGGGCCCAAAAAATCCTGTTTGCAGAGGGCAGACAAAGCAACATCCAGCACTTGTGCTCTGCTTCAATAAACAGAATATTCTCATCAGGTAGAGAAGGAAGATGTGCTTTGGGGTGGTGCCATTTGTTCCTCCCCAGATACACACACATCCCCTCTCCCTGTCCCACACATCACTGCTGGGACATGCCCTGCACTGGAGTCTGGATTGCCCTTCCCTAGAGGTCTGATGAAAGTGGAGGTGGTTGGCAAGGGATAGGTTTTGGAGGACTGGGAGCTGCCTGGGGGTTGCTTTTCAGTCCGGGAGTCCCCAACCTGCTGGTGAGGGATCCATGAGGATTGACCACCACACCTCCTCTGGTGACATCCTCAGGGCTGTGCCAATCCCTGCCACAACCAAACCCACTGGCAGGGACATGCCAGGGTCTAAGGATACCTGCAACTCATCCCAACAGCCCATGGAGAAGGCTACCAGCCTCAGCTCCCCCATTTTCTCACAGGAGATCCCCTATAGCACTCTGCCCCAGAAGAACCAAAGGTCCATGAGTGAGGAGCAGCTCCACAGGGGTCAGTGCTCCTTGGAGCTGGATGATTCCTGGGTTTCTGTTGCCACACACATGCCCAAATCACAAATAGAGAACAAGAGCTGAGACCTTGCTGCACAAAGATATGAAAAGCAGGGCAGGCCCTCAAGTGTAACCACGTCTCGGGGAGCTAAGGACACTAAGGATGACAAGAGGATTGTTTGCTTTATGTTTTAAGAAAATTCTGTTGAGGGATGTTGAGAGTATTGCTGAATTGTTTCTCCCCCACCATCCACTTTGGAAGGTATCTAGAAATTAAAGCAAGGCTAAGGCTTCTCTTTTATTTCTCTCTCTCTCTTGTTTCGGGTTCAGGTGGGCCTGCTTGGGGTGGTGGGATTGAGTCCTGCAGCTTTAACAGGGATCCTGGGGGGAGGCCTGACCCCTCTGGAGTTTTGCCAGTGACTCCAGGAGGTTTTACCCACACCCAGTGACTGTTCTGACATAAGCAAAAAGATGTGTTAGTGCACGAACCCTACCCCACTGAGAAACACATGCAAGTACCCGAGACAGCGGAATCCAAACAGAAATTCACATCCTTACACTTCAGAGTTATTTTTACCAGAGAAGACAAAGAAATGCATGTTAAAAAAAATTTAAAAAAAAAAAAAAAAGAGAGGAAAGAAATAAGAATTCCCCTCCACCCTCATCAGCCCAAATCATATGCATAAGACATCCTGTCAGACACCAAACCACCAAGAAAAAACATTGGAATTAAGAAGTTTTTTTCCCCCCTTACCACACCGACTTGTTCAAAAGCAAAGAGTCACAAGACATTTTTTTTTAAAAAAGCTTTCTAAGAGAAAGAGATTTCCTCAAACTGAGCTCAGAAATCAGGATATTCCCTGGCAAACCCTCCCCGCTCCCATCACGAGGAGCCAGCTCACATGGCAACCCTTTCCTCCCTGGGTACAAAACCCTAGTGCCAAGCAAGTGCGGTAACATTCAACACAGCTCTTATTTTCTTTGCAACAGTACACCTCGATTTCAACTTATATTTTTATCTCATTCAAATTATTCCCTTTGAGCTTCTTTAAAGAAGTGCACCTACAGAATTCGGTAACAACTGGCTTTGATTTGAAAAAGCAAAAAAAAAAAGCAAAAAAATAAAAAGTATCAGAATATCAGAATTGTGGATTTTTTTTCTCTGTACCTGATATATTGTGTAGGGATCTCTAGTCCTCTTTGAAGAAGCTCATAAGCCAAGCGGGCAAAGCTTTAGGAAACAGAAGAAAATAAAATAGTGCATACTCCTGAGAAAGAATTACATACTCATATCACTCATTTTTTGTTGTTGTTAACAGTTCTTTAAAAATGGGGGAAGATATCTCTCACACACACTAGTCAAGGAAATTAAGGACTGAAACATTGGAATAGTTAGGAATATAAAACTCCCTAGAGAAAAAGAGGAGATCTCAGAAAATTAAGAAATCAGACAGTGCTGACATTTTACCAGACCTTACTTCCAGATTTTGCAACCCATTTATAGACAAGGCATTTTACCATCAAGGACAAGTACTAAATTACAAAGGTATGTTTGCATGCATTAATATGTGCGGCTCTACACACATATTTTATGTATATATATATATATATATATCCACATATATACATATATATACACAAACATACACAGCATTCACACACCCCCCTAAGGAGGTATGTGTGCACATCCACAGAGGCACACACAGAGGCACACACACACCCAGACACGCCTGTAAACGCTGGTCATCTAAACAGAGAGTCTGTCTAGACCAGGAAAAACAAAGCAGTTCTTAAAAAATAGAGTTGGCTAATTCAGCTGAGCTACAGTGACTCGAAACTCCCCTTCTGGTGGCACCTGAAGTTAAGATGCTGCCATGAAAGCAGCTGGTTGATGGCTTGGTGAGGGGCCTGTGCGCTCACCTCCCCTCCTTTCCTAGTCTAGACAGAACCAGGGTGGTGAGATGAGATGAGATGGGAAGAGTTGGGGGGAATGATGGGGTTGCTCAGAAAGGAACACTCTGGAAGATTGTTTTAGTCAAGGTGGAGACAGGACGTTGTTGAAAACAAAAAGAAAGAATAAAATAAAAAAAATAAAAATAAAAGCAAGACAGACTGTGCAGCTCAAGAAATCAAAGCACTGACACCAAAAAGGTTTCTACGATTTCTTCCAATAAGTTATTCATTTCTTTCTTTTATTATTATTATTAATTATTATTATATTCCCCTCCCCCCCAAATCATTATTTAAAAAATGTGAAAGAACAGAAGTGGGAAAAAAATCCTGGTGGTTGTCTTCACACGTTCCTGGCAAGAGACTCTGAACCACTGGTCTTGCGCCATTGTGCTCCTCTGGTCTTAAATTATTGTCTTTCTTTATTATTGTTTTTATTTTATTATTATTATTTTGTCCTACCTAATAGAATTCTTCCAAAGCCCAATCCAGTATTTTTAAAGCTAAAATTAAGAAGGTTTTGTTTTAAAAGATTCTCTCTCTCTTTTCTCCTCTTATTTATTTAACTTTTTTCTTTCTTTCTCTCTAATTTTTTTTTCCTCTCTCTCTCTCTCTCTCTCTCTCTCTCTCTTTCTCTCTCATTTTCTGTGTTTCTCTTCCTTGTCTCCAGTTTTACTACCTGGTCCTTCGCCAGATGTGTGCCTGTTAGCAGTGTTGTTGTTCAAGAACATCTTGTCCATGCCTTTGAGAGCTTCAGTCAGGTAGTTTTGGAGGGCCGTGAGGGCAGCGCAGATTGCGGGGGCCCCAAAGCCATGAGTGATGAGGCTGAAGTGAGTCAAGCAGCTCTGAATGCCCGGTTCCAAAATAGGGGTGGGCCGGCTGTTCCCAATGGGCGTCCTGTCCTGGGCCAAGAGATCTGTGAATTCTTTACAAAGTTGCCTGCAGGGAAGAGAGAAAGCCAAAGAGAGGAAGGGAGAGAGAGAAAAGTGGCCGTTAGGTTCATCCAACCATTCTCTGCGACAAGCAAGGCTGAAGGAAGGGGCAGGGTCAGGCCAAAGCTGATCCCAAGACACAAGATGGGACCTTTCTGTTGCCTTCCTTTCCCAAAACTGTTTGAGGACCAGCTATGGTGAGCCAGCAGCTCAGAATGATGTTCTTCAGGGGAAAGGTTTTTGCATTTGCAGGATAACACCAGATCTGGACATAAAAGTCTCTCCAGCAGCCACAAGGATTTTCCCAAAGAACTGTGAAAACCCAACTCTGCTTGGTGGCTCTAGAAACAGCCAGGAGGAAAGGGACATATGTCTTGGGTCTACCAACCACCCATCCTCCTGAAGGCCTGACTGGCTCAAAGCAGCTCCCACCAGTGGTGTTCCCAAAGGAAAGCACAACCATGCACTGAGAGCTGCTGGCTGCACTGGGACTTGGTGCAGGGAAGGGCCAAAACAGAGCCTCCCCTGACACTGCTGAAGCTGGGCCACCTTATTGAGAAAAACCAGGACTGTGGGACTCCATGATTGCTTATTCATGGCATGAGGAACAAAGTGAGCACTTCTAATTTTATTTTGGAGGGTGACACCCCAATTAACACATCAGAGTCGACATCTGGCTCATGTTTGTTTGCCTGCACCTTTGAAAAATCAGATTTGACTTTTCTAATGAATTCACACACACACACACATTTTTGCTTTACTCTGGTCCACAAGACCTTCAAGTCAACAAGTGCCTGGGCAATGTAGAAATCCTGGGGGCTGGTGGGGTTCCCAAAGGAAGAGTTTCTTTAAGGGTTCCCAAAGGAATAGGGGGGTTTTAAGACAAATGCCTACCCAGGGACTGGAGGGGGGGAAAAAAAAGGCCAGAATTTAAAAGAGAAAAAAAAAAAAAGGAAAAAAGAAACCCTTTAAAAAAGACATTCAGTTCTCATCCTCTGAAATTCTCTGAAATTCCCAGTGGGTTAAAGGTTTCAGAGGGTGGGGAAAGAAAAAGGTCTACTTCTATGTGTATTATCCATTAAGAAAGTGCAAGAGAGGAAACTTTGAATTTGGAGAACAAACAGTAATGAGTCCAACATTTTACATCTTCAAAGAGCAAAGCAGGGTCTGCGAGCAATTAAAGTTCTGGGACATTAATATCTTCTGACCCTGCGGAAAGGGCAATCAAATTCCAATCACGTCTAAAAAACATCTGGACAAATTTGAGCAAATGATTTTTCGACCCTCCATATATTTCTTTAAATTACACTGTCATCGGAGGCAGGGCACGTCCCAGAGCATGAAATAAATGAGAACTGTTTGGGTTGGTATTTTTCTTTCTTTTTTTTCCTCTTTTTCTTTTTCCAGATAGATGAAGATGTGTGAACACTCAGCACCCACTGCTGAGGACTCGAGCAAACCATGAAGCCTCCAGTGAGTAGCCTGGGAGGCACAGCCAAGTGTAAATCATCACATACAGCACATCCACCGAGGAAGTCCCTAGGGACAGAGATGGTTTGGAGGGGCCAAACCAAGAATCATTAGCAGTACACGGTGTTGTTCTTCCATTTTTTCTCCTTTTTTCCTCTTTTTTTTTAAATATATATTTTTTTTAAATTAAATCACACGGAAAAGCCATTGCAATTTGGTAGCAGACAGACAGGTGCGTGTGAGCAGCAGGAGGGACAGACAGACATGCTGTGGAAGCAAAATATAGAGGGTTTTTTTTTTCCCCTTTCCTTTAACTGGGAGTGGCTTGGAAATGATGCACAATAGACAGGGAAGAGTCACCTACAACCTCTATAGGGACAGAGTCTGCTGACAGGATTCCCACTGCAAGGTGATGCAGAGGTCCATGGGGCGATAGGAGCATCCTTCTGCCCCGCGGGGCCACTGGAAACTCCGTCTGCTTTCTCCTAGCAGCGAGCTCAGAGGAAGGGTTTAAGGAGGGGAAGGGCAGAAGGGGGGTATTTAACTTCACACTCACTTTGTAGCAAGCAGCATGTTTTTCCTGGAGTGGAGGTCGCTGGGGTCCGTGTGCTGTCTGTTCAGGTATTCAGAAACAGCTTTGGCTGGGAACTCCGTTTCACAGATGTACCCAAAATCCCGAGCTAAATGAACGGCCTCACCTGAAGGGAACGAGAGGGGGATTAACACCTCCGAGCACCGCCGGCCCCGGGCTGGGCTGGCTCCGACCTGCCCACCGCTCCCCTGGGAGACACCAGCTCCTTCGGGCCGTGTTTGGAAAGGTAATAATATCCCTTCCACCTTAGGGACAGGCTTCACAGCATCCCTTCCACCTTAGGGACAGGCTCCAAGTATGTGTTTTCCCTCCACAAGCCCTAATTTGGGGACAGAAGTTGATGGGACAGATTTTGAGCTGATGAGATTTGGTTTTGCTACAATGGTTGTGCAGAACACAGGGGAAAACATATACACCACTCACACACAGAAAAAAACTTTAAAATTAGCAGGGACAAAAAAAAAAGTGACCATAAAAACCACAAGGGAAACCTAGAGAATCCTGAAAGACTAAAGAACTCAAACTCCTCTTAAGAGCAGAGAAACCATTCCTATTTCAACACATCAGATCACATCCAAAACTTCACAGATGTGGATATATTGTGAACATAATGTTAATTCTTTGTGGGGCATTATATACACACTTTATCCACACAGAGTACTTGCATCATTATCACATTTAGTGCCACATTTATAAAATTATGGAGATAACTGTATTTAGCCCGATGGCAATTTAATAATCTGCATTTTTAACTGACCATCATGTAACAGGAACTCCTCTCTGCCCGGTGGAAAGATAACAACTAATGGGAACTTTTTCTGTGAAAAAAAAAAATAATTATTATTCTAACTCTAATTCTAATTGTCATTTTTCCTGCCTGCCTGGTTTCAGGTTTCTTGCCTCCAGAGGTTTGTGTCATCCAACTCATACTGGTGTACTTCATGCCACAAGAAGACAGTAGCTGCAGAAAGGAGGAAAAGAGGAGGGGAAAAAAAACCCCTCAGACTCTAGGGGGATTCCACCAGATTATAGCTCAGCCCCTCTAGAATAAAGCATTAAACCCTTTAAAGCATCGCCTGAGGGAGGAGGGGGAAGATTTCCAACACGTAAAACAGGTATGTCTAATAACTCCAGGACCACATTATTTTTAACTATCAGGAGTTGCTTTTCAACGTCATCTCCTGCTTCTCAATGCTTCTCGCTAATGATCAAACCGGTTAATGAAGGCGAGAGCACCCGGGAGAGCCTGGAAGTGGGATCCCCGCGCCGGGAAGAGTCCTCCCGGGCAGCGTTAGGGCAACAGAGGCAGGGACCGACCGGACCGTTCCTGCTCCTGGCGATACAGGAGCAGCACAAGCCTGGCTGGTGGCAGGGAAAAAAAAAAAAAAAAAGAAAAAAAAAGAAAAAAAAATCAAACTCCATCAGGTGCAGCTTTTTCCAAAGGGAGGGATCTCCCTGAAGGTAAACTGTTGATTTGTGAGGGAATCAGGGGAGAGCACAGGCATGTACACCTTGCTCCACATTTGACATAGAGCTCAGCGTCACTACATAACCCCACTAGCTTCTGAACAGCCCCGGAGAGGGGCTGTGAACTGGGGGTTCACACACCCAGCGGGGGCGAAGCTGCGCTAACCCGGGCGCCAAAGGGCACTTGTCACCCCCGAAATGCTTCACATCTCCTACAGCGAGACCCTGCATCCTGTATCCGTAACCTACAGTGTGCCTTGCTCGGCATCACCTCCACGCGGGTACCAGGAGGAGCTCCTGCCTCTCAGGCTCAGTGTTTTTGCGAGCCTTCCTTCAGCTCTGCACGCGGTAAAAGGTCTTATCGCTCCCATAACTCAGTCAAAAGAGTTGAAAAGTTAGTATCTAGCACAAATATTTATGCACGCTTACATGCAGGAGAGATAAGTGGATTATTTATATGCCTCTCGGTGTGTATGTGTAGTGCAGATACACAGAATTTATAATTGCATCCATACTATTCCGGATAGGTTTTTTTTGGAGAAGGTCCAACTTCTCTTAGCATAAACACGCACATATCCTAAACTTATTAGTGACTCTAAATTTTCCTTCTCGGTACAGTAACAACAAATCAAAGGCCACCAAAATGCCATTAGCTGACTTGAAATGAGTTGAAACTTCAGTTTCCCCTTCCCTCTCTCCTTCCTCGGAAATAGCTGGTCTCTTTGTTCGGCTCCAGCCACCTTAAGCGAAACCGAGCTCTGCGAGTCTTAAATTGCTCTGGTTTCTTACAGAAAAAAAAAATTGTATTATTTTTCCCTATTGAGCATCTTGTAGCGGTTACAAATCAGCTCGGGAGGAGTGAATTAGTGAAAGGATGGAGTAGATGTGGAGTCGGAGGGCATAGACTGGAAATGAATAACAACGAGGAATGGGACTGCCCTGCAGAATTACACATACACATACAGGTACACACACACGCACACGCATAGACACACTCCTTCATTCTTGCCGCCAAGAAGGATCAATGATCCTCCAGCCAGTGACTTCAGTTTTGGGAATGGGATCCTTCATCGTGCCGGTGTTTCTCCTAGCCCGCCCTGAGTTTCACCTCTGCAAGGTTTTCCCACCTGATCCCCAAAGTTGGTGGTGTTTCTTTCTTTTTGTTTTGAGGGTTTTTTGGTTGGTAAAATGTCAGACAGGAGTTCAGAGCAGGCAGGGGTGTGAAGGGAGCTGCGACCCTCGGCTTACCTTCCACCAGGGAGGTGAGTAAAGTGACATTTGCGGCCTTACGCCTGCCGGCTGGTAAATTCAAACCGATTTTTTCTAGCCTTTCTCGCAAAGATCTCCCCCCGTTTTTCGATTTGGCTCTAGAATTGCAAAGAAATTAACATCGTGATTAACCCCGCAGTGTTCCTGGAAGAAACGTTTAGTCTGTGCAGTCAGCGGAGCCTGGGAGGGTTTTCACTCGACGTCAAGGACTTTGGGGGTGTTGATTTCTGCTCGGCTTTGCTGAGATTTGCCTAATTTCTCCCAAGGGTAGAGGTGGGGATGAACCCACTTTTCTCCCTGTTTTATCCAGGGAAATCAAATAATGCCAAACAGCAATAATTAACGGAAAGGTCCCGATCTAGAGAACAAATGGGTTTCTGTTGTATGACGCCGACTTGCATTACGATAGAGGAAAGGGATGGGCAGAAAGGTAGAGGAAGATTCAATCACCTGGGTTTTTTCCCTTAAAGAGACAGAACGGGAAGAGAGGATAAAAAAAAAAAATCGGAAAAGCTCAAAGGGAGAATGTGTGCGCCTGTGGATAAATAGAAGAGGAGGAAAATATTTATTAAACCATTTCGCGCGCGCGTGTGAGCGTGTTCTTGTGCGGGAAGGCGATGCTGAGAGGAAGAGCTCACCTGAGGCAGGGGGCGTTATATAGAGGGAATAGAGGGAATAGATTGCCTGCGGAAAGATTTGAGTATCTGTCGGAGGTTACAGATAAGGGCAATAAAAGGATGAGTGAGCTATGGGTGGGAAATTCAGAGCTATTGTTCGAACGCCCATACATATGTAAAGCCTCAGGGATGAAATCTTGCCACCTGCGAAGTCCGGGAGAGTTTTGGCACCTAACAGCAGAGTCTGTCCCAACTATCTCTAAGTTCTTTACTTAAAATTTGTTTAAGAATTAGCAGTCACACTTAGCGAAAGGAAATCAAAAACTACAGAGAAGCCAGACTGGCATCTCACTATTTTATATCAAAGTAAATCGGACTGGATGGCAGAGTTGCAAGAGAGCAGCTTTTTATATTTCATCTGCTCTGAACCAAAAGCTTGTCTAAAATTTAGATTCGAGATAGGAACTGAAGTCAGCAGCAGCCAATGGTTACGGCTTGGGCCACCTCCAGAAATCCACTGAAGTTCAATAATAATGTTTCTTTACCTTGATAATTGTATTTTCCACAGGGTATCTCTCAGATGTTCTCCCTGCTCCATTTGTGGTTGCACAGAAGGAGCAGGAAGGTTTAGCATCTGTAAGTAAAAGTCTCTGCTGCTCTCACTGGCAAGGCTTGCAGCTGAACAATGATTACAGACATTCACGTGGAACTGCATCTATTTTAGGAGATCCTGATTCTCGTGTGTGTGTTTGGGTGACTGACTGCACGGAGCAGAACTTTCCCTCTCATCTCCAGAGATGGAGCTAGAGACCCCGACGACATCAGGGGGTGGTAAGGGGGGAACCCCAAACATAAAACTGCATTTTAAACCACCTTAGACTCATCACATCCCAACTGTGGCTACAGGAGTTGTCAAGATATTTTCTCCTCTAAGATTAGCAACTTTTAAACATGATCTGAAATTTATTCAATGTCAATTTATATGAATTTGTTCCTGTCTAAAGTCTGTTCCTGTCTAAAAGTCCTACTTTTCTTACCAGTCTGGTGTCCACCTCTCCCATAGAAAATGAAGTCTTATGTCCTGTCAGTCTGAGTGGGTGAACTGGTACCTCATGCTGGTACCTCATGACTTCTTCTCTGTTCTGAATGGAGGCAGAGCTTTGGCTCACCTTTCTTACAGCCAAGTCATACTGACAATTCTCAGTCCCTGCCAAGAAGAAAAAAGCCTTTCCCCCTCTTAGTATTTCCAGTTAATGACCTCAGAGCTTAAACTCTTGTTTCTTTTAGATAAAACCACAATCTCCAACTTGATATGATCAAGTGGCAACAAGACCTCCCCATTTTCCTCAGCACCAATATTGCCAAATATTTTGAGGTCTTCAGCAAAATCCACCAGGATTTTAGTGGTGATTTGCACAAATATTAAACAGCAAAGGCCTCGAGCCCAACTGCGAGTGATTCCTCCAGCAACTTTCTCTGCATGAAGCACTAAGTTTCTGACTTTCAGAGCTACCTGTTGATGACTTTTCTTTAGTCAGGTACTTCTCTACCTTACCCTGCCTATTAGCTCCCTGCCAATCTCAATAATGTCTTGTGTGACAACAGGTCTCATAACTGACATAATTGTCTGACTGCTATTGCCATACAGAGAAAGCCTCGTGGATTTATCCAGGAAATCCCTAGAAATACATCAAGTCTTCAAAAACCTCCAGTTCACCCTGAATCACATCCAGTGTGGCATTTTATATTGCCCACTTTCTAAGAGAGAAGTGGGAGTAGGAGAAAAGATAGAAATTCTGTTCATATACAAAAGCAAAAATCTTCCTTGCCTCAGTTCCTTCATTTGCAAGCAAACAGGGCCAAATCTTTCTCTGCTGTCCATACATTCATCTCAATATCTGAACACTGATTATCTTCACTTTATCCATAAAGTTACACACACAGGCTATAACAATAAGGTCAATGCATATTTGCAATCATCTTTACTGTTGACCAAGTATTTCTGGTGTGTGCAGGGAGCCCCCCACGTGGTCATCTTCATGCCTCTTACCTTCTAAGGACTCCTCCTAGGAGGGATGCGTTCAGACACTCTGGAGGGGAAAGTCGCCTCTGAACTTCTCCCACAGTTACTTTGTACTTTGAAGTTGAACTAAGCAAAGACAAGCGGCCGGGGACAGAGCAAAACACCTCTCCGGTGTTGACTGAAATTCCACCCAGGAAGCCATCTTTATTCATCATCAAAGAAGTAACAGATTTTGGAGGAACCGGAACTGGAGAAAGAAGAGGGGAGGAGGGGAGAGAGAAATCATCACGCCACGAAGGAGCACGGGATAACCACAGTCTCTCTGACATGCACAGAACAGCAAAATGAAAGGGAATTTTGAAACTCTGGCTACCTCCAGCAACCTAAAGGGTGCTGCTCCCCCAACCTCTAGGAAACTGCTCCATGAATGATGGATGGAGAGAAGGGTGGTACAGTACAGCCTCTATGCAGGGTTTAATCATTGGGAAATAAAATACATATTGGCAAGCACCTGGCAACTTTCGGGTTTGAGCCTGTGTCTCACCCAGAGCCCCCCGATGCCTTTTGTACAACGGACAGCGCCTTTCTGGAGGGGAAAAAAAGAGGAAAATTTACTTTTTTTTGGCTAATGTTTCCATTACTGCTAAGCTGAGCCAGGAATAAACGCAGCACACGAAGGGAGTTGCTGTCTTAAATAAGTATAAAGGCTGGAGGATACAGCAACGAGAAGACAGCTCTGTTATTGCTTTGTGTTTTTATTAAGTCTGGTTTATGAAATAAAATGAGTCTTTTCCTTTAGAAAAATGAACACCAGGAAAAAAAATATCTGGTCCTACCATGGTGTTCTCCACTCTGATCATATTGTGCTGTCCGTGAATTACTGGGAACTCTCCCGCCCCTAAATAAAGCTGTTTTAGTTACTGTAACACATATTTAAAGGTAGTTATAGGGAAAAATAAAAAGAGAACGATATAGTGAAGCTAAATAAAATAAAACCATGTTGCTCTGCCTAAGATAAAATGAAATATTTCTTCTCTCTGAGAAACCAGTGAGGTTATTTTAAGAGTAACCAAGGGGATTATAATGAACAAATTCCTATAATAGCAACCAGACACACTCAGAAATAAACAAAAAAATTGGCTAAACTAAAACGGAGAGCAATTCCCCCGTGACATGAGTTTTGTTTACAAATGAACTTAAATAGCTCTCTCATAATTGTGTGTAACTGTTATGATTTACAGCAGGTGCTCTAATCAATCACCCAATCACTTTAATTTATAGGGAGCCTCACTGCATTTTCCCAGTTGTTTCATTTCTGCAAGTAATTGATAACAAACCGTACTTAAGGTATGTTTTATGCAGGAGTTAATAAGAGCTGACAGCTGCTACTGCTGCTTCCTCTTGGATTCACGGCAACACACGTTTCCTTATAGAAAATATACTCCAAAACTGGGGGGCTTGCTGGTGGCAGAGCCCTGGCAGTCCAGCGGGTATGTTTCAGAGGAGAAGACTAATTGATTACACACCCTCTTCGAGCAGATACTACTTCACAATCTCCCGTTTCCACTCAATCAATTGCAAAACCAATTCGGCAAATAATAGGGTTCTATTATGCACATATGCCAGCTATTTAGGTACTTATAATACATGTCAGTTAAGTCATAAAAGCCCTGTTTATTTGCAACATATCTGGAGAATCAAACCATTAGGGTTGAGCGGATATTTAAGTCGTCTGGAGCTGCTAAACAATAAGATCGGGTATCCTAATATATTACCAAGTGCTAACTACTGGGCAATTGCCAATTTTATAACCTCAGTGTATGGAATAGACACAACCGTGTTTCACTGTTTTTATTACAGATCATTTCCTACTGCCAGACCAGACCCCCACAATAAAAGCTCTATAACAGCTAAAAACCAAAAGGCATGTCGATTTTAGATATACATATTGCTTCTTATGCCTTGTGTATAGTCTCCAGTATAAACAAATTATTTTGAGTGGCTTGACTTCAGGGAATCGGAAAGTGAAATGGATTCCTATTTCTCTATTATTTTTACTTAGGCACTTTATGCAGCTCATAAAGGCGGTTTCAAATAGTTTGAGAACAGCTCAGAAACAGTTATAAAAGAGTTAGAGGCCCGCTCCTGCTTTCATTGCTATTAATAGGATTTTTTTTTTGCCATTGATTCTATATAGGAAGGCTTTTTTGTGTATCAGAGGTAGTACAGCAGAGCAAAAAACCATATGTATTTTCCCCCATTATACATAAATATATCACTTATTTCATGTACGATAGTCTATTTGAGTGAAGTATCAAGTTAAAAAAATATAAACTAAAAAAAAAAAGTTAGATTAAAGCAGTGCCACCAGACAGATCTTCATGACTGGCATTTTTTTCTTGGGTCAAACTCACGGGCTCAGTGGTTCGAGTACACCTTTACCGTGGCTATATTTAGTGACCAGTTTATCAGGTCACTGTCCAGTGAACTGAGAAATTAAACAAGAGGCAGCAATTCCACGAACATCTGATCTTAGTCCAAACTCACTAAAGAGAGAAGGACCCGTGCAATGCTTAAATGCACCTCAGCCCACTCGCTTTGGCCTTTCGGAGCACTCATTACATTAGTTAACCTTTGAAATATGGATTTTCACGTGCTCGGTATTTTTTTTTTCCCTTGCAAATTGCTTTTTGGGAAGCAAGCTGGCTCCCTTCCCTGCTATGCTGGGAGCTCCTCAGCTTTTCCTCCTACCACTGTTTCCCTGAAAAGGACCGTAGGAACATACCCACCAGCTGGAGCCTGATAACTCTGAACCCATTTTGAGGCTTACCAGGCGGTGTAAGCATATCTATTGCAATTTCATAGCTTCAGAGAGATGTATTCTATCTAGGCTCTGTATCTTCTGTAAATTACCTAATGCTGCCTCAAAAAAGTGTTTGCCATGGAATGAATTATCTCTATCTATATCATATCTATATGTTTATCATGGCTAGAGCTTTTCAGACATAGCCCAGACAGCAGCAGAGATAATGGAACGTGGAGGTTTTGTGGGTGAAGAGATCCGTGTGTGCGGCTGCATATGTCAAATCCCTGCGTGGATGTAAATAAACCCTAATGGAGGGTGTATTTTTAGCCGATGTCAACTTTCCCAGTTGGTTGGGGATTGCCACAACTGCTGGAGTAAAACAGAATAATACACACGTATCCACGCAGAGTCCCCACCACTCCTGCCTTCACTTCATCCCATTTAGTTCTTGTTATCCCCAACAGAAACTCTTCGATTTTCTTTCACTCCCAAACTCTATTTGCTGTGTGTATGTGAGCACTCACAAATACATAATTCCCCCCTTTAAAATCCCTGCCTTCTCCCTTGCTTTATATTTCTTTCTTTACCTCCTTTGTCTCTCTTTTCTCCTCTCCTTTCTCCTTTTCCATCCCTTTATCTCTCTTTCCTCCCTCCTTCTTTTTTTCTCCCTCCTTTTTTTTCCCTCTTTCTCCTCCTGTGGTTCCTTCCAGCCTCTTTGTCATTTCTCCCCCTTCCATTTCTCTTCAGCTTATCAATAAACCGGGAGAGCAACAGTAGCCGCTTGATTTGTTAGTAATTATAAGCATACTGTTCCTGCAAACGGGATCTCTAGATGAGTGAGATCGCTTTAAAACGACAGCAGGAAATGGTGGGGAAATGGAGCATGGCGAAACTCAGCGTGAAGCTTTCAGTTCTTTACATGTTTACAATTTTCTGTGCATACATTAAGTCTTAGGGTTCTTTTTTTTTCTTTCTTTTTTTTTTTTTTTTGTATGGTGGTTCTCTGTTGGGTTGCTTGCCAAAAACCTGTGAAAATGCGCACAAATGTGAACTCACAAGAGGAAATGGAAATAAAAGCCATTTTATGGACACTAAATATAAAGAAATAATAGATTTATGTCCTGAAAATAGCTGAATAATAGGGGTTTAAGCTATGGATATTATTGCAATAATCCCGGTGAATAATCTGATAGTCAATCAGTCAATCAATCAAATAATCAATCAGAGGAAATGTTTCTTATATTTCTTACTAACAAACACCATGGACAAATTAATTATTGATCAGCTGTTAAATTCTTTCATTTTTTTTTAATCTGCCTACTGGTCCTGAAATGAGTAGAAAATTCTTTGTCCAGTATAACAACAGGACTTTGCTGTAACTGGTGATTTGATCTGACTCAGTGGCCAAGTCTAAAAAGTCTGGAGCAGCGTCTTACACGCTGGATCTAAAAGACCCGGATCTTATTTTAATTTTAATGAACAAATACGGAAAGTGTGTGTTCATCTCCCATTTCCTCCTGTCCCCCTCGTCTCCTCCTCTCCTCCCTCCCCTCTCCTCCAACCGCAGTCCCTTTCCTCTGCAAGCCGGGACTAAATTTCAAAGTGAAACGTATTCCCTCGAAATTGTTTTGCATTCAATTAAAGGGGATCCCAAGGTTCAGTGGGTAATCCAGGAATGAGCACGAAGCTGAGTGGCAGCAAAGCACCATCTCCGATTCCCAGATCTATCACCTGAAAAGCTGGGGCCAGAGTGGTTTTCAGTTAATCATTTATCCTAAACTTCAAGAGGTGGGGAGGAAAGTCATGTCGTGTTATTTAGAGTTAAAAGCAAAAGGTTAGGATACCTTCTTTCATATGTTTCCCCAAAGTAGTGGGAACAATAGAGTGTGTTTGCAAGGAGACCACGAATTAAGGTGTTCGAGTTAAAATGGCCTTTCATGCTAAATCAGGTGTGAGTGTGCAGGCGATCGTCAGAAAGAGTTGACAGTAAATAAATACATCAGAATAATTTTAAGACTCTGACTGTGCCCCAGAGTCACAAAAAATTAACTCGGGACTTGGGCCACGAAAGATTTTGCAAGAGGACAACTTCTTTCACCACAGTCGGTGCCAAGCAGATTTCAGATGAGCACTTGACAAGGGAGCTCTATCTTTTATTCCTGACACATGGAAAACTTTCCCTTCATTTCAGCAGAAATCGAGGGAAAGGCCTCCAAACGTGCAGCCGGTAAGCTCTGAAAGCTTAGTTATAACTGATATTAATGCTCTTGGTGATCATTATTATCATCTCGATGATTTATCTGGCTCCCTCCCTCCCACTTCCACCACCCAAATCTTAATGGAACTAGGAGTTAACGATGATTTTTTAATGTCTCGTTGCATTTTTAGGCTGTTAATGTACCGCATCCTTCTCATTATTAGTTTATTGATTGTTCATTGACCAGCCCCCTTCAAATCGTATTAACCACCCTCTGCCAGTTTAGATTAGGGGAGTTTAAAAAGCACCTTTCATTATTTCCCCGCCACCACCACCACGACCACGGTGGAGTTCAGGCTTGGTAGCTTAATGCTCGCTCTAATGGGGCAGCTAAGAGACGAGGGGCCACGGTCCCTGCCTATTGCATTAATAGCTCAAAGGGGGCTAATACAGAAAATTAGCCTTAAACGAGCTCTGGAGATCTCCAAATGAAAGAGCCATTTATCACGCTGGCTACCTTCACTCCACTCGTTTGCTCTCTCTACTGGGAACAACTCATTTCCTCTTAACTAAATTACTTCAGAAATGTCAAGTAAGCTCAGATAGCAAACATAACAAGAGGCTGGGTGTGTGTAATCTATTGTGGGGGATCGATACGTGAGATAAATCAATAGCCGTGTATGAATCCCTATATAATTTCCTTAATAATTTGGCAAAGCTTTTGCATAGATAGATAATTCCCTCTGCAGGCCTGAAAGACCATGAACAGACACAGTCTGGGTGATATAATTAAGTTTAGACTCTAAGTCTCCATCATACTTCTCCTACTGCCTTGTAATTAAAGAATTTTAGGCACTAAACCAGGATTTGGTGAAGTAGACCCCCTCCAAGCCTCGACTGGCAAATATGTATCACGGGAATGTTCCAGTGGACAAAAATCAGTCAATACCTTTCTGTCTCTCTATCTATCTGTGCCATCTGCCTGCAATAACGACTCACAGAGTTTAAATAACTTATTCTTCCTTCAAAGTACATCCTCACAGCTACAAAGTGCAGGGAACAAAGCGAAATTGATACTGAGCACTCTCTGTGTTGCTCCTTCTCTCGTCCTGATTAAATATTGACTGCCACAAGTGTGACCTGCTATTTATTACCCATTTCTCTTCCTCGGCACCCAGGAAAATCGCTGGGCGAGAAAATACAATATTCCTTTATGCTAGGAAGTCTCTTAGAGCTCAGCATTACTTCTAAGGAAGAAAACGCTGCTGCAGTGACTTTTAAACAGTTGCAAACACATCTCAGGGTCTTTTTTAGTAACCTAATTTCTGAAGTGCATATGTCTCCTGCTCATCATGTGTAAACTCAGAGTATCTCTTCTTCTGGCTGCAAATAGGCACATGTAATCCCATATAGACGAGACTGGGTCTCTTTAGGAGGCAGCTGCTCGACCTGGGGCCGTTGCAATGCCCACATATAAAAAGCACACCTAAATATATATACCTTACACATATAAAAATCTATACCTGATCCATAGAATTATTGATATTCACATTCTAGTGCTACTCGCTCTCTAACTGTACCACCGAGAACACACGTGGAATGTCTCTGCTGTCCTCGTCAGCTGAAGGAGGGAGAGGCAGAGACGTGTGCGCGTTTAAAAAAAAAAAAAAAAAAGTATTTTGAACTGTGTATTCTGTGAAAAACCAGCGGGGAACAACACTGGGAAGGAGTCTCTCGACCACAAATCAAGCACCAATTAATCAAATACACACAAGAGACAACATCATGTATGAGGTGTCAAGTGGGGGTGGGGAAGGGGGAGGAGAGTGAGGAAAAAAAAAGGTTAAAAATACAACCAGAAACCATCAGGTTACAGACCCTGAGTAGATACTCCATTAAACATTCAAACTGAACCAAAACAGTAGAAATCTTTTTTTTTTCCTTTTTAAAGGTAACTTTGTTTCTTAAAAAAAGAAAAACAAACAAACAAACAACTAAGCAACCAACCAAAAAAACCAAAAAACCTTCGACTTTTCAACCAATAGTCATAAATGGTGCTGCCAAAGGGTCTTCAAGTTTTCATCTGTCCTCCCTCAAACAACTAGACCTTGATCATGTGTGTGAAAGAGAGACCGTACATGAAGATTTAAATTAAAAAAAACAAAAACAAAAACAAAAACAAAAAACCAAGCAAACAGCAAAACAAACCATAAATACACGGAAGGACCTCGTGCTGCCTTCAACACGTTTTAAGCAAACACCCTCCGCGTTATTTTGCTTTACATCCTACAAGATCATCGCTATTAAACCATTTGTGAGCATTTGACAAATAACAAGGTCCTGGAGATAAGTGCTGCTGATAGTAAGCATAAGGGACAGCATTTCTAAGCCTCATCTCTGGTACTTAAAATTGAATCTAGAAATAGAAACTCCTTAGATAATTAAAGATAGCTTTCCCTCCATTTGCAGCGTGTGATCTGTTTAATGTCTATCAGCATAACACAACACTAATCGCCGAGCATCTTCCAGGGACTGTCAGAGAAATGTAAAAAAATTAAGCAGCTGCAATACGCCCAAAATGAGTTATTGTAATTACATTTAATTAGTTTAATTAGTTAATTATTTTGCTTACAGCTGTACAAGAGACTGCAAACATTTGTTAATATCACATTCCCTTTAACAGTATGGGGTGATTCTGCAGTTACACTAAATCATGGGTGCATATGTAGAAAGATGTAAAAAATGGGCATGGGGAAGGGGGGAACCTTGGAGGAAGGGGGAAGGGAGGAATCTTGGAGGAAGCAGGGAAGGGGGCCGGGGCTGCCTTTCCATGGGCATCTCTTTCTCTCCACGTTTTATTCGCCTGTGAAATGCATTTAAGCCCCAAAGGGAATCAACCACCTTCCTCTATTAAAAGCCAAGGGGTTCCCATCGAAGACTCTCGAGGTGAGGGGGGAAAAGAGGAGAGGAGGGCCCATGGAAACTGCATTCGAGCATGGGGTGCTCCATTAGAGAGCATTTGTGTCACTAAACCCTTTGAAGGACGGGGGAGGCGGGGATATAAACTTTTCTGTTCACATATCTTATCCCCTCGCTCTATCTGCTGATCCAATCAACTATTCATCTTGCTGCCATGTATTCCTGCTTCCCGGAGAAATTAATTGCCCCAAAGTCAAAATATATCATGAAGATATTGCTACACAGTAAAAGTTTGTCTAGCTTGTTGGAATAATCCATACCTTTTTTAATGACAGACTGGTCCAATAAGTTCATACCGCTGTTATTGGCATCTTCAACTGACTGTGGATATAAAAACATCACTATTCAAATTGACTGGATATTAAAGAATCACGTACATAAATCATGTCATTCCAAACTGGAGTTCCTGTTATTTCCATTTATATTAATTCACTAGGGGAGGGAGAATTTTTCTTTTACTATTATTATTGTTGCTATTATTATTTCCCCAAATCGAGAAGAAAATGAAATTCTTACAAATTATATAGTCTTCTAATAAAACAAAAAGAGGTGTGAAGCATATGGGGCGCAATAGTGGTTTTGTTATCTTATAAAACATAGATATCACATAGACTTCTTTGCATTCCATAAAGCTTTATATTTCTTCCTTTGAAAATGTGGCAATTTGGCAACATCTGCAAGATCTATTGCATGACATAAATGAACACGATTAAGGACAACTTAAATGCTCCCTCCCCTTTCCTTCCCCTCCTCCTTCTTCTTTTTGTTTTTTGTTTGTTTGTTTAACCCTGCTACATCTTAATAATTCAAGGGCCATTTACTTTTTATATATCATAGTTTACATTATGGACTTTTAATTAAAGCCTGAGCCTTTCGGAGCGCAGCGCAACGCCCACATTGTACAGGGGACGGGCAGAAAGAGATTTACAGCTCTCGAGGTTGCTTCCATGTCCTGAATTAGTGGGGACGGGGAGGGAGGAGCGGGAATATACATTATCAAAAGTATGAACCACCAAATTGATCGCCTAGGAAAAAAGGTCCCGATTTCAAAGCCGTGTTTTCACACTTTCCCCCTTCTTTTCAGCCCGCTGAGGAGCACACCTGTTATTACGGCATTAACTTCTTTGGCAGGGAAGAGAACAAAGACGGGCACAGAGGACACAGCAAATCTTGCGTTTCATTTCTCAACACGAAAGTGGGATATATATATATATATATAAAAAAAACCCCAAACAACTAAAACTACCGCTGAATCTGCGTCCGGTAGAGTAAAATCATCTCCCAAAGAGATGAGATGTCTTAAGAGTAATTTACTGCAGAATTCCGACAGGTTCCATTTTAGGGTCGATTCTAGAGAAAGGAGGGACCTGTGAGTTTCTTGACTTTATTATTTTATTTTTTCTCATTATTATTTAGGGTTTAGGGTTTTCGATGTTATTGTATGTTTGGGTTGTTGTCACATTTTTTCTTGATAAGGAAAACACCTTCACAGCAAAGCAATGATTTTCGTCACTATTATTTTAACTTTATCTTTGCTACACCGAGAGGCTGAGCTTATCCGGATCTAGCCCTTATCTCCATCTCTGTGCTCAGCGGAGACATTCCAGATGGAATATGATTTAGGAGAAAATTACATCTCCCCAAAACGTGACCGAACAATATTTTCTACGAGAGCTTTCCTTTCATTTTCCTTGAATACACCCTCCAACGAGCCTACACACACACGCAGAGGGTTGCCTTATGTGATGTGTTTGGGTATGGCTGTGTCTCTCTCTCATAATCAATAGGCTACATACCTAAAGGGCACAAAATAAAATTACAAAGTCTTCCCTCCTTTCCCTGAGCAGCTCCCGACGAGGGATGATGAGCAAATCCTGCAGCCTGCTGGAGTGCAGCGTGGCGCACCTCGATGGCACAGAATTGGAGGTAAACATGAAACACCACCTTCCCTTTAATTTTTTTTCCATCTTTCCTCCTGATCTCGCCCTATCTCTGGAGTCGATGGTTGTGCACACCCTTTATGCGTGTGCATGCACTCCGCTCGCTCCATCAGCAACGTGGGTTAGTTGTTGTAGTTAATGAGAAGACTCCTGTCTGATTTTCTATCTAATTACGCCCTCCTGCTGGGTTTTTGTACAGGATATTCGCTCAGCATGCTGGCAGTTAATAGTCACAGAGAGGATCGTAAAGATTTAATTAGGACTGCATGCGGAAACGTGGAAAAACAACTCAGACTTTTAATTACTAGACTTCTTTAGTTAAAAGTGATACCAGGGGTTACTTTATAAGAGACTTGGGTGTTTTGGTGCAACTTAACTTTCCTTGTCTCTAGCTGGCACGTAGTAGCAGCGTGAGTGAGGAGGAGGAGCGGAGGTGTGTGTGCAGGGAGGGGAAAGGTGATGAGTTTCCAGATGTACTTGGAAAATCTGGAGGGGAAGATTCCCTTCCCTTCCCTCCTCCAATAATCTGATAGCATGGAGCTTCCTGAATACTATCTATAATCACATTATTCAACAGCTATGGACATATCTGAGAGAAAACCTGAAAAATCCAGCCTTTATTTTCCTTCAAAGAGTCTGAATATTTCCTTCATTGTATCTTTTACTATTATAGCCCTACTTTTGCCCAGCCGATGGGGAGAAAAAAATATCTGGGGTTGCGATGGTGGATTTTTATTTTTTTTTCATAGTCCCTATTAGATGATGCAAATTTTTTTCAATAAGTGGGTCTTGGCTTCTCTGTTCCCTGTCTGAAGGCTGTAAATCGCAGATTGAAAATTCCTCTCGAAAGGGGCAGCAATAGCAATACAATATGTCCTGTTTACAATAACAGAGCGCTATCATGTTACAATCACTTAATTCTAGCCCTGGACAATGGCTCACACATGGCCTGGATTTGGTGTTTATAAAATAACAACTGTTTCTTTCTGTCACGCACTCTCTTTCTCTGTCTCCTCCTCAGCCCAGCCCATCCTCATGGCACATATTTGATAAGACATGCATAAGCTAAAGCAAAGAGAAACATCTTTATCCAACTGTATATCTAGATATCGGTTCAGCTTTCTGGACTATTAAGAAAATAATACTTGAAATCCTTCCTGGAAATTCTATCTAGTGATGGCGGATAATAAGTATATGTGGTCTAAATAAAAATCCCTGTAGCTAGAATGGATTCCTCGAATCTAGAATAAATCCATACTGAATATCAGGATGGAAAACTGCCCAATTTCATCTGTCACTAGTGGAGGGACAAGAATAGAAAATGCTGAGCGGTAGAAGCGAGTTCTGGGCTGCTTTCCCTCCTGCCTGTGTTGACTTGCAGTTGGACACCTCTTCCTTCATGTGTTTCTCCCTGGGACACCCTCCTCCCCCCAACCTGAGACCAAACTTACAGAAATAAAGGGTCTGTTTAATTTCCTGTTGTCTCAGTCCCCCAAAACAAGGACTCCAGCTCTGCTGGTCCACAGCTTCACCTGCCCCATCCTACCCCGATCCCACCCCATCCCACCCCCCGGCCCGGCCAGCCCGGGCGAGCAGGTCGGGGATGGCCGCGGGTCGTCACCGCTGCGCTCGGAGGCATCGAGGGGAGGCAATTGCCGTCAGCATTGTGCCCTGTCTGCAGAAGGGATGTTTTATTGGAAAAGGGATGGAGAGCTGCTTCATTTGAGCTCCTCTTTCCCTTTTATTTCTGCTCTTTCTTTCCTTTTTTTCCTTCTTTACGTCTGTCTCTCTTCCTTTCCATATCTTTCCATATCTTTCCATTTCTTTCCCTCTCCCCTTCCTCTACCTTTTTTTTTTTTTCTGCGTTTTATCTTTTTCTTCTCTCCTTTTTACCTCTTTCCTTTACCTTCCCTCTTTTCTGTTTTTTCTCTTTTTTTTCTCACAAAAATACAACAGTTGTCGTCTTTTCTTCGGGGAAAGTGTAAATATCAAAGCACAAACAGCATTTAACGCCTATCGGCTGCAGAGAGAAAGGAGAGCGATCTCCTTCCCGCATTCACAGAGGTAAAACTCGCCTTGACTTGCAGACCAGCTTGTCTGAGCCAGGAATGCGAGACGAGACTTGCGCATCGCGCCCGTGGGGGTCAGGGGTTGCCCCCAGGTCTCAAAGCCACCTTGGAAACCTGCAGGAACCAGCGACCCGACGGTCACTGAGCTCGGAGGCAGGAGCAAATCCAAACAGCAAAACCTTTCTATTTCTAAAGCATCTCGACCCAGCAAAGACCGGGGATTTTCCCGTGAAGCCCTAAAACAAGCCAAGCCACAAGCCAAAGCAATACATCCCCTCCGCTTCCCTGCCGCTGATTCCTATAATGTCCAGCACATCCTTTTTCACGGCTACTTTTTTTCTTCCCAGGCTCCTCTTTTTTCCTTTCTTTTTCCCTTTCTGTAACTTTGTAGTCCGTATTTCATCCAATGATTCTTTTCTTTATTTATTCCAAGACTAAATACATGTGTCATATACACATATGTGTGTGTATATATATATATATAAAATATGATATAGAAATTCTGGGAAAAAAAAAAAAAAAACAACTAAAAAGAATGGAAGGGAACCCCCAAAATCCCGATTAGTAAAGACTAATGCAGGACTTGGCCCCTGGAGGCTTCAGCCTCGGGCTCGGGGGTCCCCACGGGCTGTGCATGCCCAGCTCCAGCAAGGTGCAAAGCAGCCCAGCACCGAAGCTGTTAAGGGCCTTTCTGTTTTTAGGAAATAACACGTGATGATGAGTTTCGCGTGGGATGGAAGAAAGCTGGGAAATACCGTGCTTTGAGCCCGGCGAAACTCCTTTGTTACCCAAAAGAGAGAATAAAACTATTTAAAATCAGTGCTACCTTACCCAACTACACTTAAAAAAATAAGGAGGGAGCGGGGGGCATGGACACCGGACTTGTTTCTGATTACCAGTTATTGCTTTGGGTTTGGGTTTTGTTTATATTTTGCCTCCCTCCCGGACGAAAAATGTAGTAATTCGACAGTTTCATCAAAATCCCTGAACGGCAGGAAATTGGTTGGGGGGGGAAGGGGGTGGAAGCTGAGATTGCATGGGAAATAACTGGAATTTGAAAAGCCAGGCTTGAACTCTGCCAGCTTTTGAAACACGTGGAATATTTGGAGCAGCATGTCCGCCTTCCCCCTGCACTCTGCTGGCTTGCCATGTAGGGGAGGGTTTATAGAGCACAGCCTGTGCGTGACAGCAAGGAAATAAATTCTCTTATAAAAAAAAAATATAGAAAAATAGAGGGAGAGGGAGGGGGAGTACCACAGTTATAATCCCAGAACGGAAAAAAAGAATGGCAACCCACAGCAATATCGCTGGAAATCCCTCACTGATCATTCCCAGCCCAGGCATGGGGGCTCCAGATGCATTGCCCGGGAGAAAGGAACGCGGTGCCTTACCTGGACCTCCTCCATCCCTGGGTGTCCGATGCCATGCAGAGAAAGGCTGTCCCCCATGCCGGAGTCAAGGCCATGGTGAGCTGAGTGCAGGAGGACATCTGGCCTCCTTACTGAGTGGTAGTCCCGCCTGGGGTCCAGTCCCGAGAGCTGGGGCAGGGCGGCCCGAGGCTGTGGCAGCAGTGACCCGGTTTCTGATCCCACCTCTTGCCTCTGCCTCTGTCCCCAGGGGTGCTGCTGGGGCTGATGCAAGGGGTTTAGGGAGTAGGGGTCATTGACATGGGAGTAAGGGTCCTGGCTTTGGTGGTAAGGAAGAGGCTGGTAGGGGGGTGGGAAATAAGGCGGCTGGAAATCCGAGGATGGGGTGTGAGAGAGCGGAGGAGCGCTGGAGTAGGGTCCCTGCGAGACGGATCCCAGCTGGGACAGCCTGGAACTGTGGCTGGGCACTCCATCATGCCGGTCCTACAGGCGGAATGACATAAAAACAACAACAAAAAAGAAGACCTTTAAAAAAAAAATGAAAGGAGCAAAACCCATCCCAAAATAAAATAAAATAAAACCGTAAACAGTTGGAAACTGGAATTCAGATGTGCCCCTTTCCCCTGCCACGTATTAGAAATGTTACAGTGTTTCGTACCCACATTGTGTCTGTTCCCGGTAACCATCAAGAAGGGGGAAGGGGGCGGGGGGTGTGAGGGAGAATTGCTAAATGTCAAAATTAAAACTGTAGGACTAGTGCTCCGTATGCATATATGATCTGCAGTTTCAGACCAGTAATACAATTCTCCATCCACAGACCCCCAAATCAAACCAAAGGTAAAATAAATAAATAAATAAATAAATAAAAATTAAGAGCCTCACACCACCCATCCATCCAAACAACCCACTCTTTCCCCTGCCTAAAGTTTCCAAACGTTTGTTTATTCCCACTGCTGAAGTCCTCAAAATCACCAACCCATTTTCACGTGGAAAAGCCCAAAAAGAAAGTTGCACTTCTCGGAGGACTCCGAGGTGAGAAGTTGTGCAAAAAAAGGACGTGGGGAAAAAAAAAAAAAAAGAAACTCTAAATAAAACCCACGCGGGATCTTTGCTTAAAGAGAGTCTACTTCTTAAAAAATAAATTTTAAAAAAAAATCAAACAAAATAAAAATGAAACGTCGGCATTGAACAAATCCAGTCGCTATGATTTCTGCAGCAACTTCCAGTGTCTTTTGTTTCCTTTTGCAGTATTGTATTCCGGAGTATGGGGTGGGGGTTAATTGTAATGAAAAGTCTTTGGGGTGTGTGGAGGGGACGGGGGGGGGGAATGTGTAGAGGTTTCAGAGAAAAGGTGGGAGAGGAGTTTTGTCCAACTCCCTCGCACTGAAGCTGCGAGGCTAAAGTAAACAACAAAAATATCTATTCCACAAAGTGCAGCTCAAACCCCCACAAGCAGTGGCACACATGGTTAAAAAAAAAAAAAAAAGGAAAAAAAGTTCTTTTTCCCCCTACTCTCCCCCCAGACTCCCCTCGCTCAAATCGGGAACACACAATGCAAAAAGGGAGAAGCAGCTGCAAGCCTCCTCCAATTATTGTGCTAAATTACCAAGCCAAAGGCGTTTAAAAAGAGAGAGAGAGGGAGAGAGAGAGACAACAGATCGAGAGAGAGAGAGAGAACATGCAATTCTAGTACAACATGGATCCAAACTCACCATGGCGGAATAGGTGTGGACTAACATCTGGAAATAAAAAAAGTCTTGTAATAGCTAAAAATAAAATAATGGTGATAATACTAATAACTGGAGGGAAAAATATCAAGGAGATCTGCACAGGGACGTGTTGGACACAGGAGAACAGCTTGAGATATTTCGAAGTCTATCCATCAAAAAAAAAAAACAGAGGTTAAAAAAAAAAAAAAAAAAAAAAAAAAAAAAAAAAAATGCCCAAAACCGAGCCTGGAAACCTCTATCTACATATATGATTTACCCCTCCCTCTCAGTTTTTTTTCCTCCTTTTTTTTGTTGTTTTTTTCTTTTCTTTTCTTTTCTTTTTTTTTTTTTTGCCTTTGAGCTCCCAAATACAATCCTCTTCAACCCAAGGCTAGGCTCAGACTGCTCCTCTACCCCTTCCTCCCTTTCCTTCTCTACACCGCCTCATAATAATTGATATTCATGACTATTAATATTACACGACTACTTTAAAGGGAGAATGCAGGACCAAATGGAGCGTGAAGCTGGCAGCCAGCTCGAGAGCTCCCCTACTATTGTAAATGACGTTCATTCAGTGGAGAATTACTAGATGTAATCAGACGAGGGGGGCTGGCAGAGGCAGAGTTTGGGGAGAGGGAGAGGGGGGAAAAAGTTTAGCAAGGAAGAGGCAGAACTTCAATTAACTCGAGAGGAGGAAGATGCGGAAAGTAGACACTGCTGAGCTGGAGCAAGGAAGTGAGATGAAGCAATGCTAGAGGCGAAGAAGAAAAGCATATTCCTTTTTTTTTCTTTAAATATATATTTAATTATACATTCTTAATACGAGGAATTGATTGCCTTTGGTGTTTTTGTTCTTTTAGTTTGTTGTTGTTTTTTTTTTTTTTTAACAAATAATGAAGAAAAAGAGGCTTTTATAATCCTTTTTTTCGTTGTTATTTTTAAAGAAATGGAAGAAGATCTGTGCAGTCGCTGTAATAGATGCCTATTTACAGCGAAGATTAAGCCCTTCTGGTGCGTGTTACAGATCGTATTTATTCGCAATAGGCAAATAAATACTTGAATCTACGTTATTTGGCTCATTTTTTTTCCTAAATCCTATTTCTACAACTCGATACGAAAAAAAAGTATAAATGTACATAGATCTCCCGATTTTCACCCAAATGCGAAATGTATGGAGTGAATTTTAAAGGATAGTAAATTTATAGTTTTGAGGCAAAGCCAGGGGCGATATAAAACCTTTTTGATGTTGCAGGAACCCGTTCAACTGGACTGTCTGCCATTTCTGTTAAAGTTCAACTTACGTTCCTTCCTAAATAGGCTCACACTTCCCAGAGCAGCCTCCCCCCCCGCACATACACGCACACACACACTTTTGTTTTAAGAACAGATTCATTTTAAGTGGCTGAGACGCCTCTACCATCGTGTTGTTAATTATAAATCGGAAAGAAGAGAGGGAAATATTTTTTAAGGTAAATCTGGAGGGTTTCAGCGCTTTAAAAAAAAAAAATCGACAACGATTTTTTTTTTTTCTAATGCTGCACGATACAAGATGCCTCGGAGCGCACCCCCAAGTTCGGGAATACCCAGCCCGCAGCCAAATCCCCCCTAATCGCTCCCCCAACTCCGCTTCTCTCCCACGGCAACCTACAAACACGAGTGTCCGTCAATTCATAGTGCTTTTAAAAACCCCTCTGAAAAGGAGGGTGGAATAAAACCCCTCATCCCCGACCTCGGCAGCCGGGGAGGGGAGATGTTTTGTCGCCTGCTGCTGCGGGCAGAGACAATGGCCGGGCTGTGCCTGGGGATGGGGAGGGAAAAGCAGAGAGGGCTCCACGGGCTGGGGACACACGGGGACACACACACGGGGACCGACACACACTCACACACACACTCTCTCTCTCACACACACACACACACACACACACACGTGCTCGTTCTGCGCTCGTTCTGCAGATGCCGGGTTTTGCCAAGGATAATTATCCTGACGGCAGCTTTTGGGAAAGGAGACATTTCTTCCGTGCGGCTGCCGGATCCCCTCCCAGATTCCCTCCATCCCGTCCTTCCTCCGGCCGGGAATAGCCGGAGCTGTACCTTCCCCTCGATCTCTTTCTCCGCTTTTCCCGGGAGTTTCCCCTCTGTAAGTGCCGGAGGGGAGGGATGCGGGGACGGGGCGGCCCCGACGGTGCTTCCCTGGAGGGGCTACGGCCGCTGCCCGGTACCCTGAGCCCTGTTCGGCCCCTGTCCGTCCCCTGTCCCGTCCCCTGTCGTCCCCCTTGCCCAGGACACGTCCCCTAGCCGGTCCCTGCCCAGCCCCTGCCCAGTACCCAGCCCCGCGCTCAATGCCCTGTGCCTGGTCCGGTACCCAGTCCCTGCCGGGTCCCCCATACCTGTTCGATTCCCAGCCCCTGCCCAGCCCCTGCCCGGTTCCTGCCCAGCCCCTGTGCACTCCCTGGTCCCTGCTCAGTGCCCAGTCCCTCCCCGGCCCCTATTTGGTCCCCGGTCCCTTCTCGATCCCCGGTCCCTGCTCGATCTCCAGCCCCTGCCCAGCCCCTGCCCAGTCCCTGCCCAGTCTCTGACCAGTCCCTGCCCGGTCCCTGCCGGGTCCCTGTCGGCCGCCTGGTCCCTCCTCAGTTCCCAGTCCCTCCCCGACCCCTGTCCGCTCCCCAGTCCCTGCCCTGTCCCCGGCTCTTTCCCAGTCCCCGGTTTCTTCCCGGCCACCTCCCCACGGAGCAGCTCCCGCTCTGGAGCTGGCGGATTGCTCCCTTCTGAAAATCACCCCCCCACACCTCCGAGACCGCCGAGCCAATGCCTTCCCCTCAATTAAAAAATAAAAATTATGAAAAAAAAAAGATTTTATGGAGTACCATTCCTCACTTACATACACGTATTTCCCCAACCCCGCTTCTGAGCGAATCCCGCACGCTGGTTTAACTTACAAGAAATAACACTCCCGCAGCCCGTTTGGGAAAGATCCGGCTCAGGAAACCGTGAAAAATTAAGAAAGGTTTCGCGGTGTTTGAGCTGTGATTTTTAACCCCCCACCACCCTTGGTTTGCTTTTTGACCTCGAAAATAAGGTCTGAATAAAGCTCACAACTTTTCGTGCCCGCGGACTGTGCGGAGCTGCCTTTGACTGTATCGGTTCGGGTGCGTGTGCTCACATACGTGCGAGAATGTATGTGCCGCTTAATTAATGAGAGTATATGTATACATGCACATCTTATCTATTGCTATAGAGGCACAAAAAGTCGTAAAAAACGTATCCGATTCTGAAAACAAGAAAAGGGAACAAAAAAAAATAAATAAAAAAATCCACATTCAGGCTGAGCTTAGCTTGGAATTGCAAAATAAAAAATAAAAGAATGAAATGCATCCGGTCCCTGAATACCAGATTGTGTTTTTCTTCTATTTTCTTTTTTTTTTCTCGACATTTGTCCATATTTAATCGAATTATATCTAATTAGAGGTCTAAACAATCAAACTCTTGCCTTTAAGTTGCCTCATTCCAATCCCCAGATCATTTCTTTGATGTTTTAAATCGCATCAAACAGCTTTTCCATGAAAAAAAAAAAAAGTTTAAGACTTGGTATGCTGAATACAAATATGCAAATAAATAAGCATTTAAGCATTTACTCTTGGTTTCCCGTCTCTATACTTGTGTGTGTTGGTGTATGTCTCTATTTCTGCCTAGATGTATATGCAGAGATATATATGTATTATAAAGTCATGCCTGTATCTATATACTAGATGTATATTTAAATATACATATACTCTCTTACTTATATGCATGTTATATACTCACCTCATAGATATCTTCATACTTGACATTTTCAACCAGTTTCCAGAGCATGATGGCAGGCTGTTCTCTAGGAGGTGAGTGCATTCATGTGAAGAGCAGATGTCTGGATTCTCAGTACTTCTCTGTCTGTAATGATCCATCTATAATTGGAAATGGGGGACAGACACCAAATCCGACGTTCCTCTTCCATCGCAACTTATATCTGTTGTCTGAAACAATAGGCTGCACAAGTCTACCTCAATGGGATAGTAAAAAACATTATCTGTTACATAGTTACATATAGCTACAGACATATATGCGACTAGATATAGACATATACACATTAGAGACTTATATGCAGCATATAAAATATATACATATACAGAGTTGCACATACACAGACTACACATACATGCACATATACACGCATAAATCTCTAAACGGACAACTTTTTTTCCACGTATAGACATATTAATTGCCACATTTAGGTATGTAAATTATATATATTTTTGCACACATAGGCACATGGATGCTACCCTTTATATATGCACATATGCACACAAGCCTGGTCACTTTATATAGGAGTGTGTTTAAATACATATTTGTGTACCTAATTATACATTTACACATATATATGTTGATATAGAGGGATTAAATAAATGTATTATGTAGTGTATATATCTGTTATTTTAGTAGATGGATGGATAGATAGATAGATGGATGGATAGATAGATAGATAGATAGATAGATAGATAGATAGATAGATAGATAGAATGGAGAAATTAAATGAATATATTTTCGATCCTCCCTAGAATAAAATAAAGAATAATTTGCCTCTGCACTAAGCGATTCATCATTTGCAAGGAGATATTATGCTTTTCCCCCCATGTAATATGCTTTTATTTACATGTCCAGAAATTATCTTCTCATATGCAGTTAAACACCAAAACAGCGTCTCATCAAAGCACATTCAAGCAAATCTAAAAGGAGTAAATTTAGATCAATGTTTTCCACTGGAAAGACTTATACTTTTAGTCTTGGACTGTATATTTTATAACTTAGAAATACTTTATATGGGGGGGAAAAAAGGCGGGGGGGGGAAGGAGTTTAGTAAACCCTTCACTGCACGTATTTGAATAGCGATTACTACTTTCAGAAAACGATTAAAACCAGAGTTGGATTTGTGCATTTCCCGGACAGCCCTCGGTTTGGAAGGGGAGAGGAGGAGTTGGACCAGTTTTAACCTTTTTTTTTTTTTTTTTTTTTTTCCCCCCAGGAGAACCTTCCTTCTCATTGTCCGATTTTTTTAACACGTTGAACGGCAAAGAGCCGGCACAGGCAGCAGAGCCCATCTCTGCCTTTGAAAGGAAACAATCGAGCTTTGCAGTGGGCTGGTGCACCAGGAGGGGGAAAAAAACGGGGGAAAAAAGAGACACAGAGGCAGAGAGACAGAGAGAAAGAAGGTGTTTCTAAATTCAAGGTCCTGTCTCTGGAAATTTCAAACCCTGCCTATAAGGTTCCTACAAATCTTTGTTATTCTGCATGGGATCCTATGGGAAAGTGCACAGTGTCCTTTGTACTTTCAAAGGTCCTACAGGTAAAGACGCTTTTATATATATATGTATAATCTCGGAAGCGAAGAGAACTTTGTCAGGAGACACATTTGCTGGTGCGTGGTTGGCTGGTGGGAAGGGTGGGCTTTGCTTTTTCTGTTCGCTTTGGCCTCAAATTAAGGCAGAAAGTATAAATTCATCTCTTTTCCTCTCAGCCTCTGCACCATCCCGCCACCCCTCCCCATTTCACCGTGTACATCTTCTTCTAAAACCTCAACCCACAAAAGGCAAGAGGCAAATAACAGCCAGATATTACAGCAGGAGCTGGACAACGGTCTTGCTGGAAGTTCTTTAGGCAGATACGAGTTTTTCCTTAGCACAGCCAGTGCTGCACTGAGGAGAAGGAGAGCACATCATTGGGTGGGTTGGACTGATCATTTCAACTGAAGCAATAGAGTAAAAAATGCTGAAAAAAGAGAGAGGATGTGTGCTGTTTGCATGTGGGTGTGCGGAGATACCCAGGCAGACACCCTTATCCACCTATAGATCTGAATGACCCTCTTAGAAAAATGCCAAGCTCATAAAAGGACAGTTTGCCATCACTTTTGTTAAAGTCTTTGAGTCATGAAGGCTGGCACAGGGCAGAGTGAATGTGCTTCGTGACGGCTAATTCTTTACAATTTCGTGGCACCCTGAATTAAATATGCTCTGAGTGCTGGGGGAGGGGAGAGGAGAGGAGCGGAAAAAAAAAAGAAGCTAAAATAGACTTGACGTCCACTGTCTCTTTGCAAACAGATTGGTATAGACAGTAAATTCTGGCTTTCAAACCCCACTATTATTACATTTCTCTTGCATTTGCAAAACACGACAAACGAACAAGAGATCATTTAGAAAATCAAACTGAACAAAGGTTCTTCGCGATTTTTTTCTCGCTTGTTTTGTACCCCTCACCCCCCCAGCTGCCTCCAGTCTAATTCAGCAATTCCAATCAGCGACACTCGCACCGGTTTATACCTCAAACGTGCAAAGAGCGCTGAGTCCAAGAGGCGACACACGTATTCAGAACTGACCATTATAACCTATATTTCCAAAACTAGCAAAATAAAAGGTGAAAACCAGCCGTTTTCCGGCAGTTTGGGGCGTGTTTTTCCAACCTCTTCCAAGGAAAAGCCCGTTTTTTTCAGCGGTGAGCTGGGCAGGGGCACTGCAGCCTCAGCCTGGCAGCTGCGATGGCAAAGGAATATTTTATACTTTTTTTTTTTTTTTTTTTTGAAAGGATACCATTACATCTGGCCCTGCCCATGCCGGAGGAAGCCCCCCCAGCCCCCAGCACCGTTCCAGCTCTGGTGGTGCGGGCGATGGCCCCTCGGGAGCCGGGAGCGCCGGAGCGCGATGAGCGGGACAGCGGCGCCCTCTGATGGGGACTCCCCTTCCCGCAGCAGCTGCTCCCGAAATCCGCTTCACCTCCGGCCCTTATAGCATGGAATTGTTTGAGTAAGAAGGGACCTTAAATATCATCTGGTTCCAACCTCCCGTCCACGGGTAGAGACACCCTCCACTAACCCAGGATGCTCCAAACCCCGTCCAACGTGGCCTTGGACACTTCCAGGTATGGGACAGCCACAGCTTCTCTGGGAATCCTGTGCCAGGATGTCACCACCCTCGCAGGGAAGTATTTCTTCCTAATATCTCATCTAAACCTGCCCTTTTTCAGTGTAAAGCCATTCCCCCCTCGTCCCATCGTCCCATGCCCTTGTCCAAAGTCCCTCTCCAGCTCTCTTAGAGCCCCTTTAGGCACTGGAAGAGGTTTTAGGGTCTCCTTGGAGCCTCCTCTTCTCTAGGCTGAACAACCCCAATTCTCTCAGCCTGTCTCCAGAGCAGTGTTTCCATCCCTCTGAGCATCTTTGTGGACTCCTCTGGAATGATCCAAGAGATCCACGTCCATAACTGGGATTTTACAATTTCTGCTGGAAATTATGTTGTTATGAGGGTTTCCCCCATAAGGATGAAATTACAATTTCTTATTTACACTGATTTTTAATTAACAGGCCACTCAGCATTTGAATCCCTACCTTATAATTAGAATGAATCTTTCATACCCCACTGTTAAATACATTCAATATTACTCGCCGTAGGATGGTTAGAATACAGACTAGGTCAAATATCCCAATCATCCCAATGAGATAACTGTTGATAGCTTGGGGAGGGAGAGGACCTGCAATAATGTGATGGCCACTTTGGTGAGAAGTCGAAAAAAAATCTGATTTTAGTGAACAAGTTATGCTGCCCTCATTTCATATCCTGTTTCCAAGATTATTGGTTTGGTTGTTTTATTTTTTCTCTTTTTTAACTTTTCCTGTCCTTAGTCAAGGCTCTGTTTCAGAAATGGACTTTCAGTCCTGATCTGCCTTTTAAATCCAGCGTGGATCTCTATAAATAAAAATCTATCTTCCTCAGTGTCCAGCTCCCAGCACATCTATGTTGTTGGCTGGAATTTAAAACAAATCCGTTTATCCCAGCGCCCTCTGCTGCTCGCTGCTCTCATGTAAAGACAGATTTCCGAGGTCTACCAAAAGCCTTCAAACTCTTTCTTCCCCCCTCCTCCTCGATAATTTTCTTCCACGTGTATTTCAGAATTCAGTATTTTTTATTAAAAAGCTTTTCAATTTAATTCACAGGGGGAAAATCACATAACACTGCAGGTATCTCAAAATGTAGCTTAAAATTTACTGCCTGCTTATGGATGGATTTACAAAATCTTTGCTTTGGTGACCATTTTATACCTTTTTTTTTTTTTTTTTTTTTTTTTTTTGTGAATAATACCAAGATTCTTCTCTTAAAAATCCAACTTCCTATATGTTTTTTTTGGTAAATTAAGTTTCCCTACCACCTCTGCAGACATAATAAGGGTTTTTCATAGAATCATACAATTGCAGGATCATTTGAGTTGGAAGGGGACATTAAAGGTCATCTGCTTCAACCCCCTTCAGTGAGACAAGGGACACTTTCAAGTAGATGAGATTGCTCAAAGCCTCATCCAACCTGACCTTGAAGGTTTCCAGGAATGGGACACCTACAACCTCTCTGGGTAACCCGTGCCCAGTGTTTCACCATCCTCATTGTAAAATTCCTTCCTTATATCTAGTCTGAACCTAACCTTTTTTTTGGGTTTATAACCATGAACCTTTGTTCTGTCATTACCAGTCCCTGCTAAAAATTCTGTCCCCATCATTTGACATTTTCCCAAACCCACCAGTGTTCATTCCTCAATGAGGAACATCACCAAACCCAGCAGAGAGAAAGATATCAGGAGCAGCTTTTAGCAAGTCAGGAAAGTTCAGCCACATGTGTTGAGCCCCTATGGGCAGGTCCAAACAGTTTTCCACATTTAACAACCCCAGCTCTCTCAGTTGCTCCTCATAGGACTAGTTCTCTAGGCCCTTCACCAGTTTTATTGCCCTTCTCTGGACACACTCCAGCACCTTCTTGTGGTGAGGGGCCCAAAACTGAACACACTGATTTGTCTAACCATGATAAAAAATCAGCTCAAATGCCACTCAGTTATCTCCAGTATTCTCCAGGTTTTGACAGCAGGAATCCCTATTTGTGAGCCCACACATTCCTGCTCATATCCAGTTTTATGC